TCTGTGGAAGAGATCCCCAAGTGTTGTGTTTGCTAGTCTCTGTCACTAGTAGAAGCTTGTTAGGTATAACCTGAGGTTTACTCATTTCATTCAGGAGAATAATCAAGGTCTTGTGTTTAAGATTCTATTTCTGTTTGTATTATTCATGTGGCGGCCTTAATATTGTACTCTGTACTCCTGTCCTCCTTGAAAGGTAACTGCTTTTTTTTTATTACTAGTGCATCTGGAATTCCTGTGCTCTCATTGTTTGGGCGTGAGTGGGGATCAGAATCATGAATGTGAAGTACGAAGAAAGACCTTTTGAGACTCTTTAAGAATGTGAAAAGTAGGAAATGGAAAATTTTTGGAGACTTGATCTCCTTTCATTTCGTGTATTTTATTTGTACTTAAATTCTAAGTCGAGTATTTCTTATTTTTAGCAAAACAGTGATAGTTACTGACTGCAAGTTTTAAAGTGCTCTTCTGTACTGGTCCTTCTAGGGGCAAAACAGAATTGCTATTCTGTGATGGTAGTGCATAATTCCCATCTCATGTTTTATGTCAGTGAACTTGATTATTGTTTTTCTTTCATCAGACATTTATGACCCTGATTTAAAACTGTTACAGTATCTTGAGACTTCTGGGAAAACCTCTGCTTCTGTTTCCATCAGTGGCAGGATTTCCAGCTAGTTTCTGTTCTTAGCACATATGTACATTTGCTTCAGTTCACCAAGTGGATTTTTGGGTGTCATTTGCTTTAGACCAAGTCTTCTGAAAGCCTGTTTCTGGTCTTCCTCTGTGCTACATGCAGCAGCATTTTATGAGGTCTTCTTCTTTGAGCAGTGTCCTCTCCTTAATTGGTTATATCCTGAGGAAGACTTCTGGTCCTTGTCCCCTCAGATATATAAACAGACTGATCTTAAGTTTAGATTTGTCAGGTTGGTCCATTCATGCCTTCAGCTGAGTGGCAGCAGATGTGGATCCCATGACCCACCTCAGGCCTGTGATTGGTGTGGGTTGTAGCTGTTGGAGCTGGAACACTTTGAGGGGTGAACTAAAATAATGAAACTCTTCTGATGATAATGCAGAAAGGCTGTTGTTTCAGTGTCTGTTTTTTGAGTGCATTCCCTGTTGTACAGCAGGCTTTAAAATAGGACCTTTATGGGATATGGTTGTGTTTATCAGCTTAATCTAAACTTGCAAGTGAGCCGTGTTGAGGCTTTTTAGTTCCACAGAGCTGGATGTAAGCTGCCTTTCCCTTGACAAAGGGAAGTCTGGATTTCCAGTTTGCTCTGTCCACAGAAGTGTGCTACTGCTGGCTTCCACCACGAGCTCAGCACAGCATGTACATGTTCAGTAAGGTAGTCTTGTGTATTGGAAAAAGTGGCCTTGATGCTTTGTTTGGAGTGGAACAATCCTTATTTGAGGGGAGACAGGAAGTGAACCTGATGAATATACAGCAGTGTACTCTCCTGTTTTGGACAACAATCTGTCACTGGCTAGTGACAGCTGAGACCTCATCTCTGTGGTGTGCTGCAGCATCTTCTTATTAGAAATCAAATTAAGAAGAGTTCTTGAATCATGGCATCTCATAAAAATTGAAGTGCAAGTTGAGAACACTTGCCTGGCACAATGGCCTCTGAGAACATTGCTGTAAGAAAAAGCAGTATGTCCTTGTTTTTAATGTGCTTGCTGAGGAGACATCTTGTTCCTAATGTATTCCTTTTCTCAATATAAATTTGTCTGCTTTGGAGGTAGGTTTAACCCATTTTCATCCGGACATACTGGATGGTAGTTTTTATTGGCGTTTTTTCCCCCACAAAAACATGTATTTTAAAAGAACTGGCCACTACTCTTAAGGGCAAGTTGTGTTTTAAGCAGAAAGATTGCACTTGAGCTAGTGAATGTGAATATTTACTGAAATACTGATTTTAGCGTTTTAAGATTTCAGATTTAAAGGCTTGGAAGACTACATTAAGTAGAGCTATTTAGGAAGAAATTATATTAAATTCTTAAGTTTTTTGAGAGAATACAAAGAGTTTGTATTTGTACTACTAGTCTACTAATAAAAAGATAAAAGCTCGAAGCACAGTACTGAGGTGTCTATAAGTAGTAGCAGGTAATAACAAACTGAAACATTCACTTGTAGGGGCTGTGCGTCTTTATAATTTTTGGTAACTTCTTTGTTTAACCTGCTTTCACAGTTTTCATTTGAAAATTGTGAATCAGTTCATCCTCATTTTAGGAAATTAAGTATTAAAGCAGTGAAAATACTTAGATTTGGTGATGCAATGTTTGCACTTCCAGAAACAAGTGTCTTTCCGACTAACTGCAGTGGAAAATTTCAGTAAAACTGTTTTTAAATTGGTATCTCCAGAGTAGTGCTGTTCAGTGTTGTACAGTGTGTGTCATCATTCAGTATTTAAAACTGCAGGCTTTCGGTCTGTTTCTTGACTTGCCTTGTGTTCAGTGGTTTTGACATCGCATAACTGAAATGTTCACCTGTTGAATTAGATGTGGAATGAAAATCTTGGCACAGTTGTTCATTCAGTCCATATGAAAGTTGTTTAAAGAGACTAAATAGAGAGCTATCAGCAAGTAATGACTGAATGAGCAAACTGACAGGATATAGGTAGGGAGATTAGTCTGGTGTGTCTCTGCTTTAAACGTGTGTCACAGGTGAAATGACTGGACTTTGATGTCAAAAATAAAGAGGGATATGTATATCACATACTCTAGGCAAGGTTCTTTTAATAGGAATTTTATATCAGTAATATTTTGTGGCATCCTTGTTTTTCACTAATGGTGCTGACTTAAATTACGTGGCACTTCTGAAGTTATATGTTTCTTTCAGATTTTTTGTCTGACTAGTAATTCTGGTGTTTAGCAAGATGGTTAAATATAGTGTACAGATATTGGTGATGAACCACTGATTTTGGTTTAATATGTGTTATTGCTGTAACTAGTGTACCCAAATTCAGTGTGTTGGAGTAGTCACTTGAAGGTAATAACAGTGAAACTGGATATGTAAGAGTAGGGTATACTGGTTAGGGTATTGCTTCCATTTACTTGCACTCTGGAAATTGTGTAAGTACACTGGAAAAGTGTAGGCCTTGACTGCTATGTCAAACTATTTGAAATGTTTTTAACTAGCGAGGGCGTGGGCAATACTGAACCAGCTGTCATAATGCAAGAACGCATATTCACTTACCAGAGGAAAGTGAGAGTTTTGCAAAAGCTGCTTTGTATCTTGACATATACCAGTTCTGTAGCATAAGGTAAACTTCCAGTAAATCAGCAAATATTTTGTGCAGGTTTCTTCTCTTCTGATAGACTCTTTGTGAATTTATATTTTTTATATGTGGCAGCATGTGTCCAGCAGTGTGAATTCCCCCTTGAAAGACAATGGCTGGTGGGTTTGGTAATTCATGATTTTACTAAGACTAGTCCTGTTCCCCAGGCAGTCTGTCTCCATTGCTTGGTCTTGGGTCTCCTTAAAATCCTGACAAGTGAGGCATGGAAGTTTATTTCTCAAAGAAGCTCAGGGCTAAATGGGCAAGTAGAACAAGTTTGTTCATTCCAAAAGGGTAGCTGTCACTGTCTTTGTTGCTTCTATGGATGAATGCAGGCAAACTTTACTCTGTTTTCCTGTAACTTTGATTGTAGGGCTTTAGCTTTTGTGTGGCTCTCATGTGGAAAAAAACAAGGCAGTGTGACTTAAAAGGTTCCATACTGGATAGCTATGAGTTTTTGAGGTCAGTCCCCCTCAACCTGCACAAATGTATCTTGCACAACGTCTCTGGGTGGAACAGCAGTGTTCAGGGTACTGCTTGTTTAATCTTCAGCATGCTGTCTTCTGTTTTGCTTCCATAGCAGTCTTAAGAGCCTGCTGATCTGCACAGAAATTATTTGAAAACAAATATCAAAGAATTAGGTAAAAAGACAGAATGACAGATTCAAGTTCCAGTTGCCCAGTATTGGCTAACAGTACATGAAGGGGGAAGGAAGGAAAGGAGATAAATCTGACTACTTCTTGAGAATCCTCTTTACTTTTATGTTTTACATAGTTGAAAAGCCTAGATGAAGTGTTTTGTCCTGTTGGAGAACCACAGATGTTCTGTCCCAATCATTCTTGTAGTAACACCACTTGTACAAACTTCAGTAGGAAGTTGTGAACATGCTGTTTTATAGCATGTATCTAAGGGTCAAAGAATCTACTTAATCACCTTAAAATATTTTGACTGACATGTCAAGGCGGCAGGTAAAAAAATTCTGTCCAAAAGGATCCAAGAATTTCACTGATAAATGGCATTTGTTTTTAAGGCCTCTGTTGCAGAAATTGACAAGCTGCTGAACAGGCAAAAAACAGGTTAGAGTCCTACTTCTGCCATTCATTCTTAGGCCTGTGAAAGTTATCTAGCAGAGTTTATCTTGATCTCATGAATGATTGTGATTATGAGTCATTTGGTAGCAAGCTCAACATGTACAAAAGACACAGCACTTGAAAAACACCTGCAAACCTCTAAGTGCTTCAGACTGTCTTTCTGTGCCTTTGGCCTACATATCACGCTGAAGTCTTAATTCCTGATATATTTTAGTGCTTTTTAATGAGAATTCATGGAGCATGGGACATTCATAGAACTTCTTAAATTTGTCGCTTTCATCGTACACTTTCTCCACCAAGGCTTGCTGGAATAGGTACCTAGCTTTTCTCATTTATTTGGAAGTATTGGAAGTACTTTTTATAGACGAATTCATGTAGTCAGCTGCTCCTGTGTGGTCTAAGTTGCATTCCTTCCATGTTTTGGAAGCTAGCTCCCAAAAAAAAAACAAAAGCAAACAAACCAAAAAAAAAACAAGCAAACAAACAAAAAAAACTCCATTGAACTGACCTTGCAAAGTAACTGTTTTGTCTGCTGTTGGAGATGTTTTTTATGTCTCAGAACAGATAATACTGTCTTATTTTAGCTGGTTTTAAAGTGTTTGTTTTCTAGGATTTTTTTAATGTTTTTTTTTCTAAGGTTTCTTATGCACGACCAAGTTCAGCCTCTATCAGAGATGCAAATTTGTATGTTAGTGGACTTCCAAAAACAATGACCCAGAAAGAACTGGAACAGCTCTTTTCCCAATATGGACGTATTATTACTTCTCGTATTCTGGTTGACCAAGTCACTGGTAAGTAGGCAGTTTTGCATGGCCTTTCATGGAATCACAGTTTGAGATATTTCATCTTTCAGTACACTAGTCTTGTCTTTATAATGTATAAAAGGTGTATGTAGGCCAGAAAATGCTTTTTTCTCCTGGAGTTGTTCATAAATATGCAAGGACCAAAATAGACTGTGTAGTTTACTGAGCCAGCTTGAGTCATTTCCACCCTGAAGGTGCAGGTCTGAAGCTTGATGACTTGTAATAAATTTGCAGCTGCTCTAATCTTCCTTTCCAAGCTGCTGTACGACAATAGTTTCCCAGTGCCTTACAAAATGCTATTAAACTTTTTTTCCTAAAAAGAAAATTGTATACAGAAATGCACAGCTGGTTCTCTGAGGCTCGGATTACAGAAGCCCCAGACTGGCAGTTGCTATTAAGACTGTTTTCAAGCTAACTCATTAAATTTGGGCACACACATGAACTTTGAGTTTCTTGGGAGCAGGTAAGTTATTTGATTACCCATGTCATAAAGTACTAAGATATGTAGCATGTTATTTGCATTATTGCAGTATGTGTGTCAATCAGGTAATGGTTGTCCGTGACCCTTTGTGCTTAATCTTCAGACTCGGGACAGTAATGCCTGTGGTTTTTTGCTGTCTTAGATGGCTCATCTTGAGAATCTTTATAGTTTTCTGAATCACCTGCTGTGAGATTTCTGCCAGAAATAAGCAATTGAATGAAAAGCCAAGTACATGACAGGAGCATTGAGTGTACAAAGCAACATACAAAGAGGCAGGGTTGGAGAACTCTCCAAGTTCTCCCCCTTCTAGAGCACTAAGGGGTGAGACAGATGAAGTCATTTACTCACATAATTATTCCCTGAATAAGCTGGGTTTGATTTTTTTTTTTTTTTTAATAATTGTGCCTTTTCAAAGCTGCATATCCTCTTGGCTGGCAAACAGCTTTCAGCTGCAGAAGGCCATAGAGTTTTTTAATTGTCTTACTTTGAAAAGTTTGTACATGCCAGCAGTTGAGTTTTGGCTGACCTTTAGAGGAACTTGTGTGTACTCCTTCAACTTCCACTACGTTAAAAGAAATCTCAGTGTTGACATGTAATACTTAGAGAGTGTTTTAATAGGTGGAGTTGTTAAGAGTGTAGAGAGGCCTGGAAAAGAAAGCTAAAGGCCAAATACTGCCTTGTACATGTAGCAGATTTGCAGGACAGATTCCTAGTCTTTGTGCAATAAATAGCTGTTCACAGTAGGTTCCTGTATATTCATACATAGAAATAGATGGCATTTAACAAATGAACCAGTAAGTAAATATAATTGAACTTCTAATATGTGTTATAATTATATTCATATTCATAAATCCTGCTCTTTGCATCATACTTTCTGGCATATAGATTGTTGTTAAGGTTTGAGCTTTCTTGCCTCCTTCTTTTTAGTAATTTGGAAGAAGTAGGCTCAGAATGGTATGAATAATAAGGTTGTGACACAAACTGACAGATAAAAAATGCAAAGTTGAAGCTGTGACATTTGCCTCTTTAAAGCTTTGTTATGCCTGTTCATTGTCACTTTTGATGGCTTAAATCATTGTTTATGAACAGAATACATTTCTTGTCATTAATGTCTTTCTCAGTTGCGGACAAGTGTCTAACTCACCTGGTTATTCATGAACCAAAATGTAAAGGGGCTCTAAATGGCACTTTAAATATTACAACAAAACATGGATCTAACTAATGTTGACTGTTAGTAGGTTTAATGTTAATTGGTTCAAGTATCCAATGTAGTTCAATGTGTTTATGTCTAAGACGTTTGGAATTCTTGATGTGTGATGTTCCTAAGACCTTCCATAAACACTTTTGGATTCCTTTGCATGTTGCCTTTGACTTTTCTATATGAAGAAAAGTTTCCTTCAAAAGTAACACCTAGTGATGTATGGTGATTCACTGAAACCAAGTCTTTTACTCAGAGATAACCACTGACTATTAAAACATGGCCATAATTCCCATTATTGCAACATAGTGTGTGCACGTTGTCATCCTCTGAGGATATTTGCTCCAAAGAGAGTTTCAGGAGATACTGCAGGGGAGCAAAAGCCATTTTTTTGCTACTACAGAGCAGAGAACTAAGCTATATGCAGAATTTTTGTCACTTCAGGTACTGCAGAGTAGCATGAGCTGACCAGAGGTAACAGTGCAGCTGGTTTGGGTTCATCTCCATCCAACAAAATTGCTTTGTTTCTGAATTCTGCTTTGGCTCACTGCACTGGTTTCCACTGTTTTCCCTCAAACTCACAAGCTCTTTACACAAATGTCTTACATCAGTTAATTTAAAAACTAAAATGAAAATGACAGTAGAAACTTCTTACTTTATGCAAGAGATCAGTTCTGTTAAGCTCAAAGTTATCATGTGTTCACAGCATCCAACCATCAACATAGCAATTGGCCACACGAATAAAAGTTACCATCTAATATTCTGGAGTCTGTGAATTCATTACTGTATGCTTTTTTCACCTTGTGCAGGGGTGTCACGGGGCGTGGGGTTTATCCGGTTTGACAAGCGAATTGAAGCAGAAGAAGCTATCAAGGGCTTGAATGGCCAGAAACCTCCAGGTGCCACAGAGCCCATCACTGTAAAGTTTGCTAACAATCCAAGCCAAAAAACCAATCAGGCCATTCTTTCCCAGCTGTACCATTCTCCAAACAGAAGGTATCCCGCCCCTCTAGCTCAGCAGGCTCAGCGTTTTAGGTAAGTCAAATAATCTGCACGAGTGTGCTGAAACTTGCATGTTCCCACAGGCCTGTTCGATTGCCTCCACTCTTGTGCATTCCTGCTTGTCTGACTTCTGTGTGGGGAGGAAACACAAGAATGTTAAACTTCAGCTATGCTACCATAGTACAGCTAAAACCAAAATGCATGCCATTGTATTGATAGCATTTCAATGTCTAATAAGCATGCTTATTTAAACCCAGGTGGCATCTCTCTTGTATTCAGTCACTCAATTTTTTTTTCAAAGATTACTTTTCATTTCCTAGGTTATTCTTGATGAATGTGCAAGTTGATTCAGTTAATATTGATCTAGGAGATAGAGTGTTTTTTTCTTAGCCATGTGGCATGCCACAGCTAGCTTCCTGTTTATCTACCCCTACATTTTTCCTCCGCATTCTAGCTTTCAGGTTTTTTTTCCTGTTTAGTTGTCTATGTTCTCCATGCCATACTTTGTCTTCTCCTGTTACAACCTTTCATAATAAAGACTGCTGACATATTTTTTGCATGTGCTTTTTGGGGACTTAACGTTCCCTCATGTTGAAAGTATTGCTGTGTAGTTCCCTGTGCTATTTAGTGTATTGACAAGAACAGATGGTGAGAACAAGGTGAAACAAACACTGTACTATCTACATCCTTGAGTACCTTGGATTTTTTGCAGTGATCTTGATTGTTTCTTCCCTCCCTCTGCCTCTGAACAGTGTGACCGGGTTGTGTTAAATAGTAATACACTCAGAGTATCTCCATTTTGCTTTTCAAGAAACAAAACCAGTTGACAGCTTTCTTCAAAGAGAATATACCAAATTTCAAATGCTCTGTATTGCCTAGGCTTGCTTTTACCAAATATTCAAGAATTCATGGCCTGCACTTCTGTCAGATTTTTTAAATATTTTTTCTTTCATTCAGCTTTTTGGCATTATCTGCTGCATCTCACAGGTATGAGGAGTAGGTGTTCTGCTGTAGGAGAGGGGATAACAAATTTTATTTACTTTTTTGTGGCTCTTATTACTATTTCCTAGGTAATAAAAGGACTACCTTACAACAGTGTTCTGAATATTGCATAAAAGTAGACTTGCCATTATTCTATAGACAGAGTCTGGGGGCAGAAATTGCAGGATGGACTCAAGTGCGTTGTATGAAATAAGATCATGGGGTTTGTGTCACAAGCTTATTCAACATACTTTGATGCAGTTGCCCCATCTCTCTTAATAGCTGACAGAGGACTGAAAACAGCTTAAACTTTAATAATAAAATCAGTACAATGCTTCCTTTTTTTCTCATTAAGTGAAAGCTTGGGCTGGACTTTCAAAAGCAGATATAATTGTTCCTCAGTTTCTATAAGAGGTATAATTTAAAGCATCTTTAAAAATTTTCCAGTAAAAGTCCGTGATAATATTTCCAGAGTGTTTTCAAGTCTTCAGGGTAATTGCTGAAAAATCATACAAGTGATACCATTACTGTATTAAGTCCTCATCTGACAGCCTTTGTAACAATAACCCATAAGTGGTGGTGTTTCTAGAATTCTTCACCTTGCTCTCCCCCGCTCATGTCAATGGCAGTAGACCTCAGTCATCCACACCGTCTACTGATAGTAGTCAAGTATTTAATTTCCTTTTTCTGCTCTTTTAGGGGTTCAGTAGTTTCTTGTCAGTGTATTCTGCAAACCCAGCTCACTGCAGAATCAGTGCTCTCTGGAAAACTAAATTAAGTGTATTTTTTTTTTTTACCTAAGCTCATATTTTATTGAGTCTTGATCTATAATAAGACTTCTTGATGTGTCTGGGATTTGTCAGAAAGAAACAAGAGCTTCTTTAGGGTGAGCGTTTTTTGAAAGAAGCAGTTTAAGGGACTCCAGGAATAAGAGCCATAGGAGTAGTATGCACTGCATATTTGAGATATTGGCTAGATTATTTTAAGGGGTTTGGAGTTGTGGTGGCATTCTACAATTGGGGGAAGGTGAGGTAAGAACCACATGGAGAAATCTTGAAAATAATATATATGTGTGTATCTTATGAAACACTTCACCCTGAAATATCATAGCATCATAGGATATCCTGGGTTGGAAGGTACCCACAAGGATCATTATGTCCAGCTCCTGGCCCTGCACAGGGCCAAGAGTCACACCATTGCCTGAGGGCACTGTCCAAACAATTCCTGAACCCTGGCAGGCTTGGTGACATGACCACTTTCCTAGGAATCCTATTCCAGTGTCCAGCCACCCTCTGGGTGAAGAATCTGTTCATAATATCCAAACTAAACTTCCCCTGACACAACTTCAGAGCATTCCCTCAGGTCCTGTCCCTGGTCGCCAGAGAGAAGAGATCAGTGCCTGCCCCTCCTCTTCCCCTCACAGGGAAGTGTAGAGTGTGACAATGCCAGCCACCTCTCAGGCTCCCCAGGCTGAAAACAAACCAGGTGACCTCAGCTGCTCCTTGTACAGATTCCCCTTCAGACCCTTCACCGTTTTCTTGGCCCTCCTTTGAACACTCTAATGGCTTTATTGGACAGGAGCACTCTGTGCTGGGTTAGGAACTGGCTGCATGGCCGGGCCCAGAGTGGTGGTGAACGGTGCTGCATCCAGCTGGCAGCCAGGCACCAGAGGTGTCCCTCAGGGGTCTGTGCTGGGGCCAGCTCTGTTCAATATTTTTATTGGTGACATGGATGAGGGGATTGAGTCTTTCATTAGTACATTTGCAGACAACACTAAGCTGGGAGTGTATGTCAATCTGTTGGAAGGTAGGAGGGCTCTGCAGAGAGATCTGGAATGGTTGGATATATTCCCAAGATCATTTAAAAAATCATTGAAAGAGACCTCACAAAGACATCGGCCAGTTCTTTGAGTGTTCTTGGATGAATCCCATCCAGTCCCATAAACTTGTAGGGACTCAGTTGGAGCTGGAGATCCCACACAAGTTCAGGGTTGTTCACCGTTCTCACAGCCCAGGACACTGGGACCATCTTAGCCCATCATCAACATTAAAGATGAAGGCAAAGAATTAAACTTCTCTGCCTTGTTTGTGTCCCTGTTTTGGGGTGATGACCATTCTCATTCTGTGACAGGCTGGTGTTATTTTTGGACTGCTCTTTGAGATTGACATATTTTAAAACTTGTTGTCCCCCACATTGTTGGCAAGCTTCAACTCCTGTTGAGCTTTGGCCACACAAATTTTCTCCCTCCAGTGGCAAGCAATATCTCTATATTCTTTTCATATTCACATGACTTTGCCTCCACTGTCTTTACACTTGCTTTTTTTGCTGTCTCAGCCAAACCAGCCTTCTGTCTCCCAGCATTCTGGAATTGCCAGAAGGAGCAGAAAAATGAAAAATCTTTTTTTTGGAGTTAATGTTACAATAGTTGCTAGCGATCCAAAATACTGCGTCTGTCTTGATAGTCATGGTAGCAAACATGTCAGAAGCCTTAATAAAAGTCATCTTCTCAGCCAGTTTGGTAGTGTGGAAAACTTGACTGATGTGGTCACTGACTGTAACTTTATGGTAACAGTATATGATTTAGGCTAAATTTGTGGCTGTGGTGCACTTCATAAAATGAACATCTTATGATTGTAATTACTACACAAGAATTGTAGCAGAGTGGGGTTTAGATGATGGATGCTGCTACCTATTTCCCAATAAGCATCTCCACAAAGAATATCTGTTTTGTCTTCACTCTCAGGTGTAATAAGGTGCCATGGCTCTTTCAGTGGTGACACTTTAACATTGTATGAGATTCTGTACAGTGTAATGGATGTGACAGTAATATGCTAAGTTTCCTTAATCTTAAATGGTGGAAAAGTCTGAAGACTGAACATGTTGCTAAATGTTTTGCAGGTTGGACAATCTGCTCAACATAGCTTATGGAGTAAAGAGGTAATAAAGGATTAGTTGGTTCATAACAACCAAATTATTTTGAAGTAATTTGCAAACTCTTACTTTTCAGTAAGACTTATGTTGGATTTTTGCATGTTGAGACTTCAGCTGAGGTTGTTCATTTTGATGCATTTTGCATGAAATAGACAAGCCTTTTGTAGCAGTTCCATGGAATTCCTGTTTCAAATGACTTGCTACTCCTCACTGGTTTTGTAGCATGCTTTCCTTTTGATTTTCTGTTACATCATTTCAGACATACCTAGCACTGTTCTCCCTACTTGTGTATAATTTTTTTTACTTAGTATTTGCGCAGTTAGGGGGCAAAAAATATTTTTTATCTTATCTTTCTAGTCTGAGCAACATGTTCATTCTATGAAAAGCTCTGTATCATTCTCTTCCTTTATTTTGACATTTCTTTGCTGGGGTTATGCATGAGCAGCTATGTGATGATTCTGTTTTGCTTTCCCTCATTCTTTAGTAGGTTTCCTCCAATGACCATTGATGGAATGACCAGTTTGGCCGGAATTAATATCCCTGGACATGCAGGAACTGGGTGGTGCATTTTTGTGTACAACTTGGCCCCTGATGCTGATGAGAGTATCCTCTGGCAAATGTTTGGACCCTTCGGAGCAGTGACCAATGTGAAGGTCATCCGTGACTTTAACACCAACAAGTGCAAAGGTTTTGGATTTGTGACTATGACAAACTACGATGAGGCAGCTATGGCAATAGCCAGCCTGAACGGATACCGCCTTGGTGACAGAGTATTGCAGGTCTCCTTCAAAACAAACAAAACGCACAAAGCCTAACAAGTTATTCTCAGTGCATTAATACATGAAAACTATACAACAAAGGCAATTTACAAGAAGCTTTATGCATTAGTAAATGCCTTTGTTGTATGCCAGTGTGGAAATGGGGATAAAATGACTACTTAGCATCCTAAGAATATGTGAGATTTTTTTATTGCTAATATTTGAATTAGAACTTCTTAACTATCTTTTGTGTTTGAGTATTGACAAGAGGTACAGGGTTTTTACCTGTCACAATGCGTATTCTATTGCCTTCTTTGAAGAAGGTGGACCTTTTAAAATGTTTCAGCTAAGGGAAGAAGTTTTTTTTCTTTATACATGACTGCCTTTAATCTGTGAGTAAATGTCGAGGCTTTGTGTAATACTATAATTTTTGTTGTCATTTCTTGATTTGCGTTGTGTTTAATTTACATTGTAATGCATTATTGTTTTGTTGTTCAAGAAAAGTATCTGAAGTTTACATTTTATTTATAAAGTTATAAGCAGTATTTATTTCATCATCTTCATTTGGGTTGGGGAATGGGAACACATTATAAAAGCTTATTGTAAGAATACTGGAGAACTTTTCGTAAAGCAGTACCTTGCCAAAGAGATAAGAGCCTCTTTGATGTGGGTTTAAAAAAGCATCTATTTTTATAAAAAAAATAAAAAATTTGGAGAAACTTTTTACTGGTCCTGGAACAAATATTTTGACTTGAATACTTTGAGAAATCTCTTCGTATGACACCTAGTGAGCTTTTAAAACTTACCAGGAAATTTGCAATTGTTGGGAAAAAATTTAGAAAGATTTATGATGTAGTACTTTTGAGACCTTTGTATTAAGAAGTAAAGTTAATGGGACGCACTGTTGGTTTCATTTTTTGTAATCATCAGTGGAGTCATTGATCATCCTGGTTATTAAGTGATAGGTAGCTCACTTTAATTTGTGATTTTGAAGCAAATGAAAATTTAAAAAAGGAATATAAGAGCAAGCAGAAAACTTAAAACACTGAGATATGGGGGAAAAAAATCTGTTCTTCCTAAAGAATTCCCTTCAGATAGAGCTCATGGTGTTTAGTGATGTACTTGCTATTGTTTGAAGAATTGTTTTGTCTTAAGAAAAGACATCAAGCATGATATGTGCAGTAGCAAATCAGCAGAAGTGGCCTGAGTTGGATACATTAGGAGGCATTTTGAAAGTTATGTTCAAGGCTAACACCTGAGCTTTGTGTAATGTAAATAAGAACTCTAAGTTATGAACCTTTCAGCTAATTTTGATTATAGTTTTTTTAAAAGTTACATGCCAAGTGATGTTCAATTTTGAATGTTTTTGTATAAGTTTTTTCTTTGTAAATGGCATTAACATTGTTACTTGAGGTCTGCTTCTTCTTTTCTTTTTTCTTTTTTTTTTTTTTTTTTTTTTTTTTTTTTTTTTTTTTTTGTCCTGAGGACTTGAATTTACAGTGCATCAGATCTGTTGCTATTTTTGTCTGTAGATAGTCTAGCTTCAGCTGTTTATGGTGATGCAACATTTTTGTTTATAAATATGTTTGTGGTAAAAAGAAACAAGTATAAACATATGTTTTGAGCAAATTTCCTTACATTTTTCATATGAAAACCATAAATACCTGTATGCTATTGAAGTTTAACTTTGTATGATGCTTAAATCACTATTTGGGGAAATAGAAAAAGTCTTTACCATGTATTGAAGAAATTTAAGGAAAACAAATACAGAATATTTTCTGATTAGCATCTAGCTTATAATTAAATTTTTAAAAAAAAGCTGAGGGTTTGATGCCTTCACCAGGATGCACTGACAACTATGTAGTTACGTCCTGCTTTTTGTATAAACTGAGATGCTCATATGCTTCCCCTTAGAAAAAGCAATGTTCTATGCATAACATAGTTGTACACTATCTTTGCAGTTGTTTTTGGTTCTTATTCTTTTAAATTGTTGTTATAAAATTTTCAGTATAGTACAGTACATATACTGTGAAGCGCGTGCTAAAGTGAATAAGCAAGTTTTCATGCTGACCCACTCAATGCTATTAAAAAATCAATTGGCTTCCTGAGTACTTCTTCATTCTTAGATGCATTTAGATTGTTAAAGCTAATCCTCTGCATTGAAAGTTGTATATAGTATAGAAATCACAAACTTTCCGATGTGGGAGAAATAGTAGCTACATGCTTCTTTCCTATACTACTGTAGCAACTAACGGCATTGATGAGAAGGCATGTAAATTGGGCTTCACTTTACAGTGTTTATCAGAGCACTTAGTAAAATATAAGGCTGGTATTTATTTGAAGTTGTATAGTATGACTTAATTCACATTTGTTGGAATTGAGAATATATTCTGTTGGGTATTTAAGAGGTTGTACATGTTTTCTTTTGTGTTTGGATTCTTTGTACTTTTTCATGTTCAGTACATCAATAAACAAAGTTGAAGGGAAAACAGTCTCATAAGCTGGTCTTTTACCATATTTGCCACTGCTTTAATGAGTAAGCAATCTTAGTGAAAGGTTTCTGCAAAGCTCTTGAGCTACTTGTAATTTAGGTGAGGATCCTGTTTACCAACAAGGAGGTAAGACAGCGGGGCTGTATACCAGTTCTGTTACCTTAGAATTAAGTGTAGAATCTTTTCACTTCAGTTTTGCATTAAACACTCAGTACTTAGGCTGAAATAATGAATGTGTCATTAAATGCATTCAGTAAAAATTAATTTGCTGCTATGCAGTGTAACTAAGTGAACGCCCTAGTGTGTTTTCCAAGGAATGAGACAGAAAGATTAAGAAGTATCAGGGACTCCAAGATGGAGATGCACCAGTTGAACTGCATTCTGGCCTTCCTGACACAGGAGCAGAGACCAGAAAGAAATCCATATCAAGAGCATCAACCCTGCCAGCTGAATGCAGTGGATCAGAAGGAAGGAGTGAAAGGAGGCAAGTCCTTGCTTGGCACAGCAGTCAAAAGCCCTTCTTGTCCACCTCACCCTGCTAGGTGCCTCTGTGCAGTAGGTGTGAGGCTCTGGATGTGGTAGGAAAATCAGTGGATGATTAGTATGAAGGTACTTCTCCAAGAGAAAAGTCTTCCTCCCTGGGATGTGAGTTATGGATGCCACCAGGAAACTTCCTAGCCTGGTTCAGCCATCGGACTCATACTACTTGCTGGTCCCCCATGTGTAGGGTGACAAAGCCACAATACATAGTCCATAGGTTGTCAAAAGAGACTTTTCAGGGTCCTGGGGTGGTTGGAGAGGTAATCAGGGGCTATTTTTTCCTCTACTTTTGTTAGGTGCAGGTAGTAACATTGAAAAAAACCAGTGGACCTAGTCTTAATACCTGCTTCTGGAGCTGGTGGCACACTGCCACAATTTTGGTTTCTTTTGTGTAATGGGTTGGCCTCCATGGACCTGAACATGATGAATTCAGGTGAGATTCACCTTTCTAAAAGGGGAAGGAGGGCCTTTGTCAAGGGTTCATGGAGCTTATTTATAGGGTATTAAACTTGGGGGAAGGGGATATAATCAGATATAATGGTGAGAAGGTGTGGGGTGACGTGCCCTTCCAGTGAGAAGGAGGTGCCTAGAACCTGGAGAAGGTAAGCAGGTCTAGCAGGAGAGCACTTGAATTACAACATGAAGAATTCCATATACTCCAGCCAGAAAGCTTTATAGGGGCCCAGCTCAAATGCCTCTAAGCTAACGCACACACAGCCAGGGAGATAAAGAGGAGGAATTAGAGAAATGTGCAGGCCTGCAGGACTACAGTCACTGGCATCATGGAAATGTAGGTTGACTCCTGTGACTCAAATGGAAAGGTTTGGGCTCCTCAGGCAGGGGAGATGAGGAGGTGGTGTTGCACTGATGTCCATGACCAGCTGGACATGATGGAGCCTCACCTGGGGTTGGATGAGGAGCTGACTGAGAGTTAATGGGTCAGGATTAAAGGCACAAAAGGGACAGGTGTCTTTATAAAGAGGGTCTGCTACAGACTGTCTGACCAGGAAGACTGAGCAGCTGAGGCCCTTTACAGAAAGATGGGAGTCGCCTTGCCCTCACAAATCCTGATTCTCGTGGGGTACTTTAAACACAGAAGTGTCTGTTGAAAGGACAATGCAGAGAGGCATAAACTTATCTCTTGTTAATTCCAGGATCTTCCTGGAATTCTTTGGTGAAAACTTGCTCTACAGGTTGGATAGATGGACCAAGGAGGAGAGGTGTTATGGTGGATTTTATTTTGACAAGGAGGGGCTGGTGGGGAATGTGGAGCTCAGGGACATTCTGGGCCACAGTGTCTGAAATGGTGGAGTTTGAGATCCTTGGGGCAGCAAGGAGGTTGCACTGCAAGCTCACTACCCTGGAGTTCAGGAGAGCAGACTTCAGCCTCTTCTTGGCAGAGTACCAGCGGATAGAGCCCAGGAGGGAAGGGGGTCTCAAGAGAGCTGGATGATGTTCAAGGCTTGTCTCCTTGCAGGGGAAGTCACACAAGCATACATGTGGCGTGCACATATGAACAAGGTGCTCCTGGAAAAACTTAAAACACAGCTTACAAAGGGTGAAAGCAAGGAAAGGTAGCCTGGGAGGAATAGAGAGTTGTGTTTAAATCAGTTGCTACTGCTGTTCCATCTCTGTTGGCTCAGCCAAATACGATTTCCTCAGCTCTAGAAATTGACCTTGCTCACCTTGATTCCCTGCTCTGCCTCAGGATGTCTCTGCACTAGGGTTGTTTTTCCTGGCAAGTGGCAGTTCACCATCCTCAGGTTCCAACCCGGTCTTTCTATGATTTTATGAAGGACAGGAAGAGGGGAGGATTTACTCCTTATCATTATGTCCATTTGTTGTTTAATTACTACATTAATTTCCAGGCTCCATTAATTGGATGTAGTTTGCTGGGGTTTTCTTTCCCTTCCCAGTGCTTCAAGTAAATCTTTAAAAGCTAGTCAACTCAACTTTCTTCTGCTCTTTTGAGGTACCTACACATCTTAATTCATTTGCATCAGTCAGTTGAACGAGAGTAAATTGCCATCAGTGAGAGCACAATTCCAAAAGTGGCTTGTGCAGTATAGCTTTTTAGTGTTTTCTTTCACCTTTTTCATCTCTACTGTGAGATTTTTGATGTAAAACTGTGTAGCATGTGTTGTTGAGCATCACAGTACAGTATTGTGGAATTGAGATTAATGGGTGGTAGGGTCTGCGAACAACACACATACATAATACCACCTCAAGATGTCAGTCATAGTTGATAAACTGACTAATTGGGGAAATAGTTGGGTGCTGGTAGTTTGTTATATAGTTATGATCTTGGATGGCTGGAGTAATGAGAGGACGCAAGACACTCCACTTGGCAGCAAATGAGGAGCTATACATGGAGTTTGTACTCCAGCAGGGACATATGTGTGTGTTCAGCTTTCACAGAAGGATAGCTTTTAGTTCTCAACTTAGAGCAGTTTGAGTACTGTGTAACTAACCATAGTTGAAGTATTTTGCTATATGAAAATGAGGACAAAATATGTTTATGTAAAGGTCTTCAGTTTAAAATCAAAACTTCTTTAGCTGCAGAGAAGACAGCAGTCAAGAAGCAATGCTAAAAATTAGCAGTTATAAGTACAGTTGCACAGAGGAACTATAAGTGCTGAAAAATACAAATTTTATTATATGTAGCTGGCCATCTTATGCATAGATAGTACTTTTCTTGCTACAGTAAAGTTTTATAAAGCTAAAGGAAAAATTGTGAAGCTGCCTCATGCCATTTGTGGTGGACTAGTTGCTTTTGTATGTAAATAGTAAGAGTTCCAGGAACATGTAAATACCTGTGAGTGAACTGGACTGTTAGCTGGGGCACTTGTGGAAGGGCTTTGTTACTGCAAATCATGCTCAACATGTGTGTGGCCTCTTCTGCAAAAGATACATGCAACAAGATCAGTTGTGACAGGTGACCTTCCCACCTACATCTAGGAAAGCCTTCCTTTGGCAAGAGAGCGTTTTTATTATCATGAAAGAAAAATACACATTTTTAAAGTGGCTGGCTGTCCACTGGGGTTGTATGTAGTGTACATTCTTTGTTTTCTCCAACACCCAGAGGTCATCAAATGCTAAGAAGTCTGGGGTACTCTTGCTAGTACTGCTG